TTCACTTCCAGGTAAAAATGGAGGCGGTAAAATATATTCCATTTATTTTTCTTTTAATATTTTGTTTTCTTTCCGTAGCTTTCATTTGTCGATCTTGTTCTTCTATGCACCGTGTCGCTTCAGGACTTGGACGTCCTTGCTTTTTACAATTTCTTGTCCTTTGTATCCCTGAATAAATTTCGTCTTTTTGTTATCTCTCAAAGCCTTGTTATGTCATTCATTTACTCGAGCTCGAGAATTCCGTATGGTTACCGAAGTTAAGCAACGTCGAGTCTGGTCATTAACTAGATTGGCAACCCCTTAGAAATATCAGATGCCCTAAGTTTGGATGTATTGGTGGTGTAATTATAATTGTTCGGAATTGTTAATTGGAGATTTTAGTTCCAATTCCTATTGGGATCATTATATTCACTTACGCGCAACTAGCATTGGAAAAGTAATGAATCAACTTTTTCCCCCCAAGCTATGGATTAATAAGTAAGATTTGTGTACCTAAAGATTTATTGTAATCTAAAATATATTTTGGCTTTAAATAACCTGCAAAGGGTTGATAAGCCGTAGAATTTGAATCATCGACCCAACTAGCTCGCGACGTAGGTTATACTTTTTTTTTCTCTGTCCATCTTGCCTTCAATCTATCCTGTGAGGATTTTCTAAGCCCTCTTTCCTAATGATGTGCCCTAGAAATTCCAACTGTCTCTTGTTTATGTAAATTATAAGCGGCTTTTTTTGCATTGTCTCTAAAACTTCCTCGTTGCTCACACATTCTTGAGTCTCTTCTTCAGTTCTGTGGGGATGGACCAGTGTTCCCTGTCATATAGGGATTACTGATATTACGTAAAAGTTCAGCACTCCTTTCTTTGCTTCTAACGGAATTTCAATTTGGCTTTTTGTCTCTCTTTATTTAAGTCGTTTAAGTAATTTTTTTAAGTGTTTCACCCCAATCAAGGCGGGAAGCCACTAGGACGCAAGGGGTTACAGAAAATTTGGAGCAAGATCAGATAGGAGTGATAGAAGAAAGGATGAGGAGAAGGGTAATGGATAGATCAAGGCAACTGGAGATATCGATTGACATTACATTTGAATAAATGGAGATTATAGCTCTCAGGGAAACTGGAATAGGGAAGGGAGTTCCACAGGCGAGAGGTGCGAGACATGAAGCTATTGGAGTAGAAGAGACGGCTACATTTAGGAGTTTCGACAGTGAAGGGGTGAGAGCGGGATGCCAGCCTCGTAGGGCGCTTGAACTCATGAAGTCTGGGAACCAGCGAATGCAGCTCCTCGGACCAATTCCCATGAAAGTATTTGTAAAACAGACAGAGAGAGGCGACGGCGCGTCTGTGAGAAAGTGACTGTAGACGAGATGCCAGATCAGGGCCAATTATATTGCATATCCGCCTCTGGAGCCTATCAAGAACCCCGAGGCAAACAGAAAGGGCTCCAGGGCGAATTGTTGATTTGTAGATCTGGAGGATCGATTCCGAGGAGAAAAATTTCCTGGCGCGGCACAAGGAGCCAACTTTCCTTGCGGTGGACGAAGCAATTGACTCAATGTATTTGTTCCATCTCAGGTCAGCCGTCAACGTGAGACCGAGCAGCCGCAGAGAGTTGCTCTCGAGAATTTGAGTGTCAGACATTCTAGTGGAGGGCAGGGAAGGATCTCTGTGGTGATTAATAGAGAGCAGTTTTGTTTTTGAAGCATTAAAGTTGACCAGTCAATTCCTGCCCCAGTTCACAACCGATTGGAGGTCCTTTTCGAGACGCACGGCCAGGTTAGTTTTGTCAGTGACACTAGATTTGTTTTTGAGGCAGGAGTAAATTGTGGTGTCATCCGCGTAGATGCCAAATTCAATTCCCTGGATGGTTAGATTGTTGATTAAACTATAACACGTCTTGTTAATCTTTGCGTAAAAAGGGACATTTTTATTTATTATGAGGTCGAGATTCAAATCAAGGGATTCAACAACTTATATAAAATATATCTAGATCTATATACTAAATAGATGTCTTTAATATGATTTGAACAGCTTCTACTTATCATATCTGATTTGTTAGCTAAACTATCATCATGATACTTGGGGAAGATCAAATTCAATTATGTACAATTGTTATGTTACAACACTGATTGGAATCTGCTTACTGATGGCAACGTGTTCATCTTTTATCCCCATATTTTTATCGACAAAATCTATGTCTTCATCTAGCACACTTTCTGTTATGGAGGGGTAGCAGTCTTCAGTGTCATATTTCATGAATACACGCTTGTTATGAGTTCTTATCTTGTTGAAACAAGCTATTTATTCCCTGGTGTTACTCCGTTGCTTACTATGCGTAGGATATCCCACCTCAAATCTCTTATCATCAACTGGCCGAAGGCAGAAAACGACACAGAGTTAACGCACAAATTATTTCATATGAGACCTGCCCGAATGCCGGGTAAATATTAGTGAGAACTATTTTTACAAAATTATATTTTAAATGGTAAAGTCATTGGCCATGGTAAACTGGGGTTGGCAGAAATTCCCAACAAACAGTATTGATAAAGATTCCAATAAACAATAACAAGAAAAAGAAAGGCAAGAGAACAGGGCCCAAATCCTATATGCAAGGGCAAAACAACATTAATAAGGCAAAAAGATCCCAAATTAAGAACAGTGTTGACACAAAAAGGGACACAGACAAGTTATCGCAGCGTTTTGACTTCAAGACAAGAAAGAAAACAGGACTAATACAGATGATGCAGAAAAGTGCTTTTTTCTTATTAGCTAGAAAGAAACCCTGGCATGCATTTACATGTTTTATCTATAAATTTAGTTAGGGTGATGTTTTTGTAGAGATTCCTAAACGGACTGGCAACAAGGCACGGTTTGAGGAATCGCAAAGACGAGTTCGAATTCACATTCACTTACGTGCTAATACCCTTGGGAAAGGTATTAATCCTCTTCTTCTCCCCCCTCCAGCTATGGGTAAATAGCAGGACAGACCGGTTTCCATAGACTGAGGTGGCAACTTGTCTACTGCAGAAAGAAATAGCAACCTACTGCGGGAAAAAATCTGCCTCTTCAGTAATGTATCGAAAGATACATGATCACCTAAGCGTGTATCACGCATGGCTCATAATTAACTGACTAAACAACAAATTCAGAAAGAGAATGCTGAAATTCTGAGAATTTTTTAGTACCCACACGTATATGTACACACACACACACACACACACACACACACACATGCGCCCACATACACATATATATTTATATATAAGTCGGTACAAGTAAAAATATAAATATAAAAATGTGACTAAATAATATTTGATTGCCCCTTTTGAAAAAAATCGTAATTGAAATTTATAAAAATGAAAATTAAATAAGAAATAAAAAATGCCAAATGTATTCCTATTGAAACCCAGACGATGTATTGTTACATAGATACTACCACAATTTTCTACTTGGAAAAGGGATGTTTGTGAGACAACAGACAGAAACCCCAGCCCACACCCTGACATAACCAACTTGATGGCTATAATACATTAGAAACATTTAGTTTTCTAAATAAGTTAAATCCTCTAAAATAAAAAAGAAAGATGGAATTGTTCTTAACCGCAACATCTCAAAATATCAAATTTGTCTGCACTTATAAATTAAGTGCATTAATTTCTAAAAAGTTATTCTTAGCATCGCTTGATAATGGAACGGAACTTTGTATTTTAAGTTTAATTTGTATGATTGAATTTAAATTGAAATATGAACACCTTAAAATTCCAGTTACAATTTATTTCATGAATATTGTTATATTCATCTCTTCAGAGCGAATTTTCTTTTAAAAATGGAATAAATCCATCCAGAGAGATATGATGCGATGAAAAAGAGAAAGGTTAAAAAGAGAGAGAAACTAAAGAAGAAAAGTAAAAAAAAAGGAAGAAAAAAAATTATAATAAAAAATGAAAAAGATAAAAATTAAAAATAGAAATTAAGAGAAGAATGAAAGAGAGAGAGAGAGATGAGAGAGAGAGGGAGAGAGAGAGAAAGAAAAGAAAGGAAAGAAGGAAGAAATAAATGAGGAACCAATAGCAAAAATAAATAAGTAGAATGGCCGAGAAAAATTTCCTTAAAAAAACTGAACAAGTTAATTTACCGGGTAAGGGAAGGAGGAAAAAACGGGGACAGGAAGTTAAAAGAGTTACAACAATTAGACAAGGAAAGTCTTAATATATTTAAACGGCAATCATCATCAACATTTTAAGTATTCATTTTTTGTATTCTTAATAATAATAATAATAATAATAATAATAATAATATCCAACATAAAAAACTAATATAATAATATAATATAATAAAATATATAAATAAATAAATAGAACTAATATATGTATATAATTATAATAAACAATTTTAGAATATGAGACATTGATAAGGATAAAAAAAAAAAAGATAATAATGTTGATATTAACAAAATATAAGAATATTAAATAAAAAAAGTATAAATGATTAATGCATCAGCAAGACAATCATAAATAATTAAATATCTACAGACCAATATATATATATATATATATATATGCATACACATAAGTATGTATTTATGTTACAATATATACATATATTAACCCATAAATTTATATATACATATAAGACATATATAAAGACATAAACATGTATATATAACCCCCCCATATATATATATATATATATATATATATATATATATATATATATATATAAATGAGCATGAAAATGTCGACAATCTCTGCATACACTGATATGCACTCTTTGTCGCACAAAATAATGTACGCACTTAGCTCTCTACTGTTGTACTTACGTATCGTATGTGACTTTACTGTCAAACTTGTACATGTGTCATGAAATACAATGTCGCAATCAACTTTGGCATTTATTGACATCACAGAAATTCTTTCGAGTGATTGAAGACACAATTGCGCATTCGACCTTAAAAAAAATACTTTTATTTGTTGCATTCTTCTTTTTCTCTCTTCCCTCAATTCTATGGTTGCATTCTTTCCAAATAATCACGATGTACGTCCGCTTTCCATTCTTAAGCGAAAAAGAATCGTACGTTAGTTGACCTTCTCTAAGGAAAAGCACATATTTCTTTGACATTAGATTACCCACAAAAAAAAAAAAATTACAAAAAAAAAACAAAAAATCAAAAATCAAATATATAATTCGTTCCAACACAAAGAGAAGAGAATGGTGGAATCATCTTATTTCAAATCCATTTCGCTTTCTGTCTGATTTTCAGTTTTATATTTACGCTATATATATATATATATATATATATATATATATATATATATATATATATATAATATATATAAACAAAAAAGAATCGGCATTCTGCACAAAAATCACACTTAAATTTTTATGATTGTTAAAAATAAATTTTGCTGAGATATGCTAATGCGTTTTAAATGAAAATGCACTTACTAATTCCTGTTATTTTCAGTAGATGAATTGGCTAGAAATCTTGTCGATTGTTTCTTTATGACAATATCTCGTTCTACATACGTCTCTACGTGTCTGTATAAGTGATTGAAAATAGATACCATTATTTATTTTTTCTAGAAACTGTAACCAACTGAACAATTGTTAGCTAGTTTCCAGCAAAATTCTCAATACTTGAAAAAAATCCTTTATTATAGAATTTACATATATCAGTGTATATGAGAATTTTCTGCAGATGACCACTATGGTTTCAAATTCAAAAGTAGGTTCTGTTTAGTTATTGCTCGCCCTGTTTTCAGTCGAAGTAGACACAGTCCTGCTCAGCAAATGGACGAACAATCAAACATTCACGAACCATGGGGGGGGGGGGTACTGCTGCTTGTCATGTTTAACTGCACTAGTTATGTGCCATGCGTGATATACGCTTAGGCGATCATGTATCTTTCGATACATGACTGACGAGGCAGATTTTTTTTTTCCCACAGTAGGTTGTCATTTCTTTCTGCGGTAGACCAGTTGCCATCCACGGCTATAGAAGCCGGTATGTCCTGCCTGCTATTTACCCAGGTATGAATCCTCTTCTTCTCCCCTCCCTTGCTGGGCGGGGTACAGGAAGACGGTTCATATCTTTCCCAAGGGTAAAGTGAATGTAATTCGAACTCGGCTCTCTGATTCCTCAATCAGTGCCTCTACTCTACCGTGCCTTCATTGGTGAATAAATTTATTATCCCATTTTTTCTCATGTTTTTAAATATTATTTATTTAATTTTTTTATTAATGTAATTATTATTTATTGTTTTATTTTAATTTGATAAATTCTTTATCTATTTAATTTAAATAAAGAAATATTTTGATTTAACTGTTTTCTTGTACTTCTTTTACAGTTTATATGCTTATATGTATGTTGGCTTGCGAAAGGAGTATATCTTTTACGAAAGGAGATATTTGAAAAATTCCGGGGTGAAAATTTACATTTTGACAAGCTTACATGGAGGCACACTCAAGTTCTTTCCGTCCAAGTAAATTATTTTCTTTTTCAATAAGTACGACATTTTTCTTGATACGGTCCATCAGAGGGACTTTATCAATGCAAATGCAAGAAAAAATGTTTTTAAAATTTTTTAAAATTTAACGTTCATATATATTCCTTGCGCAAGCTATGGAGGACGCTAAGACTATGTATCTATCAGTTAATCATTTGTTTATAGATCACTAAATGTTATAAGACACAGCTTAAAATAAACAGAGAAATTTCAGCGAATGAAGCTTATATTCATGTATAAAAAGTGACTGATTTAAGAGCAAAGAAAATGACCGAAATCCTGTATACGATGTTCGAAATATTTCCATGACGCTATTTAGATAATTAGCGTGTTTTACATGTTGCAATATGCCAGGAGATAGATATTATTTTTCGGGTTAACAATTAAATTAAATCTAACGCGATTTTGTACGTTTTGAATTCTGGAGAAAATGCAAGTGAGTAGAAGTATAGAGCGCAGTAGACGTTTCGACAAGATTTTGGGTGAAAATGCTTCGTCTGATACACAAAGGAATACGGTAACTTGGAATGTGAAATCGGGTTTCTTACATTCACTTACGCGCAAAAGTATGGAGACATCTCTTCTTCACAGATTGGGTCTTATAGCTATTCTACGGCAGAAAGAAACGACAACCTAATGCTGGAAAATCTTCTGCATAGTCAGTCATGAATCGACAGACACAGATCGGCCAAACGTGTATTATGTATGGCTCTTAACTGACATCTATCTATCTATCTATCTATCTATCTATCTATCTATCTGAGTTCATTCTAATCTATCTATCATCTCTATCTATCTATCTATCTATCTATCTATCTATCTATCTATCTGGGTTCATTCTAATCTATCTATCTATCTATCTATCTATCTATCTATCTATCTCTATCTGGGTTCATTCTAATCTATCTATCTATCTATCTATCTATCTATCTATCTATCTATCTCATTCTAATCTAATCTATCTATCTATCTATCTATCTATCTATCTATCTATCTGGGTTCATTCTAATCTATCTATCTATCTATCTATCTATCTATCTATCTATCTATCTATCTATCTAAAACTTTACATTGGCTATCTATCTGTCTGTTTATTTAAGTTTTTATTACCTTTTATGTTTCTATCTTTATCTCTTTCGCCTTCTCTCTCTCTCTCTCTCTCTCTCTCTCTATATATATATATATATATATATATATATATATATCCATCCATTTTTTATATTATTTACATATATCAGTCTGTTTCTCTCTATCTCTCCTTATCTCTTTGAAACTATCACAAATTTTACATTATCCCTCTTTTCTCTCTATATATATATATATATATATATATATATATATATATATATATATAGAGAGAGAGAGAGAGAGAGAGGTATCAAGCGAGCTAGCTACCTATCTCCTTCAATTCTTATTTATTTATCAACCTCTCGGTCTCTTTCGCTCTCAATATATGTATGTATATTTACAAAGAATTATAGTTATAACTCGGCCTCATCGAATCCTCTGACCAACTCCTTTACATGTGCGAAGCTTTTCCGACCGGATCAGGCTATTTCTATCTGCCGTCACTAATCCAGGCCCGATTCCAACGACAAACATCGGAGAAACCGCACACATTACAGCTGTTATTTCAGATTGAATTAACAAACAATCCCGCGTGTTTGGGATCCCAGCATCGGGACTACAGACGTTTTAAGCCGTTGGAGACTTGGAGCCGAACCGGATACAGTGGAGGTCAGAGCCTGGACTAGAAGTTGGGTGGGGGCGTTGGATCAGTCCAGATTTTGTACAAACGTAGGATTGACGAGGTGGTAAGGTGAGGTGAGGCCGGAACGAAGATTGGAAGCTTTGAGTCGTGGCGGGATAGAGTTGAGCCGGGACGGTGTCTGAACAATTGTGGGAAGGTTGAGCCAAGATCAATAGACGTTATTTGTACAGTATGCGCTAGATTAAACAAGCGTCCAGCACTGAAAAATGACTAAAAACAACCTTTACACACTCGCGCCAACATTATCTTTCTCTATCGCTCTCTCTCTCTATATATATATATTTCGTTTATACACTATATTTATAGATAGAAACATTTAAGTAAATGCACTGTTTGTAATAAACAGTATTGACTACATTTACCGGCCTCAATGCTCGAGAAATTGTCATAGAAAATATTCGTCCTCCGACAGGAAACGAACCTGTACCATACAGGGAACCGTCATATCGCCTGACGTGCTATACCATTTAGCTACAGAGGAAGCGTCTGGTTAGCAAAATCAAATTACTGTTTTTATACAACCAATTTCCCATGATTTCTCTCGAACACTTATTCAGGCGGGTAACTGTAGTTAATACTGTTTATTATAAACAGAGCAATTACTTATTTGTATCTATAAAAGTAACGTATAAACAGAAAATATATTAATAGAATTGCTAACTTAGTGCATTTTATA